ATCATCATATATAATAAGTTTTTTATTTAAAAATTTATTAATAATATTGTATTTATGTAGTTATTAGATAAGATGTCATATTTATTTAATAATACATTAAAATTATAAATTTAAAATTTTATATAATGTTATTACTGTAGTAATTCCTATTTGGGTTATTACTTGTGTAACGGTAGCGCACCAACGACCAATCGAACTGCCAAAGCACAACTCTTCTAAAAGGACAAAGCGAAAGATCAACTTATATTATTAGTATAAATATTACATTAATTTTTAGCTATTAATTTTAACAATTAACATAATATTTGAATTTTTAGAATAGTCTTCTAATTTCAATATTTATGACTAAAAATTGATATAAAAATTTATTAAACTTACATTAGTGTAATTTGATCCATATAGTCATAAATAAACAAACTGTTGTTTGTAGTGAAATGGAGCATTGGTACAATTCTTTCACACCACACAGAGAAAACAATACCCAAGACATGAATAGTATGGTTTTAAAGAAATTGGATATTAATTATGAATTAGTCTTGAGACATGTATAAATTAATTAATTCAAAAATACCATAATTATAAAATAATAATAATAATAAAGAGAACTGTCTACAAATTAAACTACAGGGGATTGAATAGAAGGAAAATGGTCCATCTTATTCTGCAAAATTCTCCCTCTTTTATTTTAGTACATGTTGTATGAAGAATCTGACTTGGGTCATTATTGGGGCCAAGTCTATGAAAACCTAACCCAACCCATGAATCTTGTTGAATATTTTGAGCAAATACCTTATTTGGGGAATACTCTAGAAATGGATAGGGGGCATGCACTCATTGGGGGATCAAAAACCTATAGGCAACTCCAAGCGGACCATGTGAAGGTAGTTATCGAATGTCCTCTCCACTCATTTTCTCTCATTCATTCACATCACACTCATCTTTACTCTCTAAGATTCATCTTCTTACTCTAACTCTGTACTCTCATACTCATTTTCTCTCATTCATTACACCACACTCATCTTTACTCTTTGAGATTCATCTTCTTACTCTAACTCTCTACTCTCACACTCACAGGCAGTTTTCCGCCATGGATCCATATCTTACATTGAGTGTCAGAGTGCCAAGTCAAAAACTAACTCTCTAGCTAAGCTCTAATGCCTTCCTATTTTGCAAAGTGTTTAGCGACCACCTTCCTATTTTGCAAATGTCCAGTGACCACCTTGGTGCTACCTTTTGCTCGGAATCCTGGCTTCCATTTTCTAGTGTTAACAGTACATCTAATAAATGAAATAGGTAATGACATACAATTCCAGTAAAATAACCTTCCACTCCTCTAAATTTCTCACTACCTATTTCAATAAACTTACAGTCCTAAAACTTTTATTCGTTAAAACATCCCTTGGAGTCACTAGTTCATTTTTGATCCATTTTAGGACTTTAGGAGTCAGGCCGCTTAGAGTTACCAGCCCAACATCAGCCTTTTGTGAAGTTGAAAGCCCAATAGCCAATTTGTTCTGGACAGGAATAAATAATCAGACCCATCTTAAGAAAACCTCACCGCACTCTTACAGGGTAGCTTGGGTAACAAACAGAACTGGTGACCACAGCGATGCAAATACACTCATCAAATTAAGCAAACCTAGACTACGATTCTACAGAGATACACACCAAATCACATCAGTTGCTTCGAACTGAATTAATTTAGCCCAAGCTTGAACGGGAACCCTGTTGAGTGCAACCAGCTGCCGCCGCTGATAAACTTGCCGGGAGTGAACCCTTCAGCCTCAGTGGGAGTGGTGATCACTTTGTGCCCTTTCCATTTGACTCTCCCGGATGTCCCAGCGCCAGCCCCTGTATTCTGATACTCCCCGTAAAACAAAGTATTCAGTGCAAAGTCCCCGCTCCACTCGTGCCATCCTGCCGGATGGATGACATCGCTGATCGTGGATTGCATTATGATGGTCCTCGAATAGTGCTTCCACGGCCGGCCCAAGTAAGTCCCGAAGCTGCTTCTTACGAGTTGTAAATCAGAAGTGGCGCCGATTCTGCATTTCTGGATGACGATTCCAGTGTTCTGATTTGGGTCGGTTCTCCCGTGGGCCGTGACCATATTTTTCTGTCCGGGACCGGGTCGGCGAGCGTGGATGTCGCAATCCTGGAAAACCGCGGCGGCGTTGCCGAATATGAAATCCACCGTACCGGTGATGAGGCAGTTGATGTAGAATTGGCGGTTGGAGTGAACATAGAGGGTGTCTTGGTAAGCCAGAATGTCACATTGGTAAAATGCTGAGAGATCAGAGCCGACGCGGAGGGCAACGGCTTGGTGCTTCGACGGGCCGGCGGTGTTCTGGAAGGTTAAGTCACGGGCTATGAACCTTTCACCCACTACAGCTGCAAACACATTGGAAAAGAAAATCTATCTGATTAGAATCCAAAATTCACGAGCAAGAAAGGACAAGGGAATAAGTCCGTAACATAATGGAAATGGATCGGAAATTACCGGGGGTACGACACAATTTGCCACAAAGAAAAAGGAAAATGAGCAAAAAGAAAAGGAAGCACTTTGAGGGCCTTTGGAGCCCCTGAAGAAAGAGAAATCAAATAATGTGATGGGATGATTCCATTGCCCCTTTTTGACAAAGAAAGGGTACAGTTATAACAGACCATTATAATCTTATATATTATTATTAAAATTATAAAATATTATTTTTAAAAATATTAATTATATTTAATTTAATTAATAAAAATAATTAATAATTATTAGTTAATAATTTAATATTTTTAATTATTTGGAAAAAATTAAAATTTTATTGGATTTAACAATACTAATGGTAATACTAATTATACTCCTAAATAGAGGCGTGGAATAAGAACAGTGAAAAAAAGGGTAATGATTTGCAGGACGAAAATGGAGGCGAAAATGGGAGCCGACAAGTGAAGTTGGTTAAATTACAAAATTACTCATTTAACCAACTTTACTTGTCGGCTCTCATTTTCACCCCCACTTTCGTCCCGCAAACCATTATCCTGAAAAAAAAGTTAGAAATCACTTTAATTTTTTTTTTCGAAAATAGAAAAATCACTTTAATTGATTTTTTGAGAAAAAAAAATCACTTTAATTGATAAAAGAGGTCTTTGGTCCTTTTCTTTTTTCTTTTTCTTTTTTTTAATGCAAAAGAATGCAAAAGGAGGTCTTGGTCTTAATATATAAAAAACGACGCAATTGATTTGATGGGAACAAAAAATTCCTTATAATTAAATACGAATATAAGACAAAAGAAAGAAAAAGAACCATATAAAAAGTTTGCACATACTATATGAAGATGAAATTGACTGGTATAACGAATTAATAATAATAGTAATAATAAAATATCTCTCTTTTCCTATGGTCCAACCTTCATTGGAGTTGTTGAGATTACGAGCACTGAAGGGTCAAGCTCATCAGGGTGTGAAGATATGGAAACGTACTCTTCATCACAACCTCATGAATCATGAAGTAATTTTAATTTAATTATATAAAAATTTAAAAGTAAAAAGTGTACCCTAATGAGCAACCCATGTGCTCTACTGGAACGAATAATAGTCGTACGCATTATTCAGTAATGGAGGCCCCCCGGCCCTATACGTACACACAGCTAGCTAACACAATATCTTTCTTTTTTTATAGTAGACCAAGAAACTAAAGAAAAGTGATTGATAAGCATGTCTGAACAAATTAAAGAAAATTTAAATTTGAGGGAAATTTTGTCAAAACAAAAAATGGATGAAAATGGATGTATCGTACCAACTGTTGCGGATTTGAACGTGGTGCTGCCGTCGACGACATTCTGGCTTCCGGTGATGATAGTTTTGGTCCTTCCATCTCCCCAGAACATTATGTTAGTCTTCTTCTTTGGCACGTCCACGTTCTCCCTGTACACGCCAGCCTTGATCTTAATGATGTACCTTTTCTTGCTATGTACTGGCGCACGCGCCACCGCCTCTGTTATTGTTTTGAAATTCCCACTTCCATCTTTCGCTACCACCACATCAGGTGTCAATGATGGTGATTGCAGCAGCCTCCTGTCACCAACCGACATCCACTTCGGCCACGCAATGCCATCTGCATGCTCTTCATTTAGTTTCCGGTTCGATGTTGCTGTTGCCTTGAGCTCGTTCGCAATGTCTGTGTCTGTCATGTTCTTGATCATCGCCAGCGCGATACTACACATTTTTTCCACGTGCTCCTACAAAGTGATGATGGATTCAGAATTTTTATCTAGTGAGTGTGTTCAAACAACTTTATAAAAGAATTCGCGGTTTTGTAGTTCGGATTGCATTTATGTATTTCGGGGTAGGTTAAACTGTATACTACATTTGTAAGAATAAAGTTTTCGAAGATCAATGTGTGCACCTGACCGTCGAGGAGTGCCTGACGGACGTGCCTGTCGGCATCTCCATGGGAGAAACCATCAAGGCAAGTCTCCTGGTTGGTCATGGCGGCGCTCATTAGCGTCTTGAGGTCATCGGCATGCTGCGTTAGCGATTTCAATTTGGGGTACTTCTCCAGATCCTCCCTGGCTTCCCGTAACTCGTCAAGAGTTTCATCGATCGTCTCCAGGCAGTCATGGAGGGCACCTTTTTCCCGTTTGGTCAGGCCCTTGTGGGACAACAACTTCTCTATTTGAAAGTAGTTTTTTTCTACGGCGTTGGTGGTGATGTTAAGCGACGCCTCGATGACATCCTTCTGGCTTTTGAGCTTCTTGGTGGGGGCGGCGGCGGTGATGGTGGAGAAGCAATAGTCACGGTACAGAGTGCTACTGCAGGATGCTTTTATTATGGCATGTGATGACGAGACATCATCTTCTTTGCCAGAATTCTTCTTGGAATTCACTCCGGTAACAATGCCAATTATGGCAGCAACAATTAACAGGGACCCAAAAATAGCCAAGAAAATTTTCTTGTGTTTTTTGGAGGTTGAATTTTGATTGCCGGAATCGGCAAATCTTGCTAGAAATTGTTTGAAACGGGTCATTTTTTTTTTCAAAAGGTTGAAGAAAGCAGAGAAAGGGAAAGAGCAGAGGAATAGACACAGGGAGGAAGAGGACCGTAGTGCTGAAGGCAAATTGCCACTTCGGTTTGGAATTTATAAACGGGCATGAAGGGTATAATGTTTTATACTTTATTATTATTATTATTTGTCTTTCATGATCTCGGTGTTCAGACTTAAAATTTTAGAATCTCAAATTTTAACTGATTGAGGCATCCTTATATGCTTGAATAATTGAATTTTTATTCGCATATTAACCTTTTACTCCATACAACATGGCATTGCAACTTCGAGAAATGGTACAAATAAGAATGTAAATTTTACTCTTTTTTTTTATTTAAGGGTATTAATTTTTATTTTTTTTATTTAGAGAGGTTAATTTTTAATTTTTTTTCTCTTTAAAAATATCAGTTTTTAATATTTTAATTAAAAAAATCTATTTATTATGTTAACATTATCATCTAATTAATTTTTAAATAAAAAAA